TGCCTTTTTACTGGAGCACAACCTGCCACTGAATGCGCCGGATCACGCTGCAGCTTTATTTAGAAAAATGTTTCCCGATAGTGAAATCACTAAGAAATACTCAAGTGCAAGGACCAAAACAGGTGCAATTGTTAAAGAAATGGTTTTGAAAAATAAATCTTCAGTTATTGATTGCATTAAAACAGCTCCGTTATGCCTCTCTATGGATGGAAGCAATAATACCGATTCAAAACTGTATCCAATTGTTGTTTCTTTTTTTAATCCAGAGTCTTCAGAAACTGAGTGCAGTTTACCTTCTGTCCTCACTTTAGAAGGACATTCGACAGGCTTTAATATAGCACAGCTAATTATTAAAACTTTAAAAGAAAATGCAGTCCCTCTGGATAATTGCTTAGCACTTGGTGCCGATAATGCACCAGTAATGGTAGGCTTGAAGACTGGTGTTTCAGGCATCTTAAGTAAGGCAAATTCAGATTTGCAGATTATGAGGTGCACCTGTCACCTCTTAAATTTAGCAGCTGAAAAAGGGCTTAGCTTCTTTACCAATAAATGTGGGTGAACACATTGTTGATATTTAATACGAGGGGCCATCCAGGAAGTAGATTACGTTTCCGTCTGTGTCCGCTAGGGGCGGGGCTAGCGCGGCCATCTTGGGGTCAGAGCGTTGCGCAGCTCAGTCTGCATCTAGCCGTGCTAGTGAGAGGTTCGTGCTGTGCTCCGTTCAGATACTGTGACGGTTTGAAATGTCTGCGTTAATTGAAAATCCCGCGAGCTGCGAGGTGCGCTCAGTAATAAGGTTTCTGACTGCAAAAAACTGTAAACCGATAGAAATCTATCGGCAGCTTCGTGAAGTGTATGGGGACAACATTATCACTGAAGGTGGAGTGCGTCAGTGGGTCATAAGATTTCAAAATGGCCGAACCAATGTTCACGACGAAGATCGAAGTGGGAGACCCAGCATAGTGACCGACCCCGCCGAACTTCTCGAAAAAGTCGATGCTAAAGTCCGTGAAAATCGAAATTTCACAATAACGGAACTTTCTTCTTTGAGTTTTTCCACAAATTTCGCGAAGTTTGTTGCACGAAATCATCAGCGAAAAGCTTGGTTACCACAGTTTTGTGCAAGATGGACAGGCAAGAAGAGGTAACGAAGTGGTTGAAGGCGCAGGCGGCCGAATTTTTCGACGAAGGAATTTCCAAGCTCGTACATCGCTACGATAAATGACTTAATTTGTATGGTGACTATGTAGAAAAGTAGTATCTGAGTGTGGCTTTCATCTGTATATAATAAAATTTGTTTCCTATACTTTGTTTATTTTTTTATTCCAAAACGTAATCTACTTTCTGGATAGCCCTCGTATTATCTTGAAAGGTGTTCTAAAAGAAAGGAAAAATTGAAACAGTTCCAACAGCTGCATAATACTGAAATGAGAAAAATTTTGAAACATGTATGTACACGCTAGCTGTCTTTAAAGAAATGCTTATCTAGAATCCTCGATCAATGGAACCCATTTCTTGCATTTTTTAAAAAAGAAGTAAATGCTTCGAGAGTTAAGATAAAAGGCTCTATTGAAAGTTATAAAGTACCTAAAGTAAATGGAGATGTAGTTATTACTTCCACTGCCAAAAATAGGTTTGAGAGAATAAATTAATTTCTGCATCATTGCGAGCAATTTCAACTGGAAAGTTCTCAAAATAATACTACAAAAATAACGTAAGCTGATACAAATCTCTCTCAAAATAAAAAAATTGCTCCTAAACTGAAGAAAAAAAAAACGCTTGTCAAGGGACATAATTTCCGATTATTATAAGTTTATCTTGTGAAGAACGAATATTTATTTTTTTTTCTTCGGACCTTACAAAGCTTTTTGCGCTTCTTGTATTACAATTCCATTTTGCCATCATTAGGATTATTCTTAACACATTTCTTACAAGTGCAGAATTTCCATTACTTCATGTTTTGCAATCAATTATTTATGATCAGTTTAAAGACATTTTACCAAAGTTTGTAAAACCAGTCTGTGTTTTGTCTTGAAACTCTATATATGATGTGATTTAAGGTGAAATAGAAAATCAAAAGAAGATGAAGATTTGGTAATAGGAGCTGCAACTACAAAAGTAGTGGAATAACTTTCAGAAGAAGACAAAAATAAGTTTTATCTTCATGTTAGAAGTTACTTCTGTCGAGTATGTGATTACATACTACATAAATTTCCAGTCAACTATGAAGTGATTTTGAATGGTAAAGTTTGTGATGTTTCTGCTCTATCAAATGCATCTTTTTCTGATATAAGGTACTTTTTTGAATAGATTTCCTGTGTTACTTCGTTTAGTCATGAAAGATGATGATATTGATGTTGCTACTGATATACTGCAGTCGCAATTTTGCAGTTTACAATTAGAAAACTTGGATGAAGTTATAAAATCAGCTAGGATTGACACCCAGTGGAGTTTAATTGGAAAACTGAAAGGTGCTGATGGAATTTTAAAATATAGTGAACTGTCTAGAATTATGTTGTCCATCTTGACAGTTCCCCCATAGTAATACGGAGTGCGAGAGGATTTTCAGTGTTGTTGGGAAAACGAGGACTAAATTTAGATCTAATATGAGTGATGACACATTAGAAAAACTTTTATTAGCGAAAGCAGGCCTACTTGGCAATTGCTATGAACAAAATTATGAAGTTTCTTTCTTAACGAAGGCCAAATCTGGCACTGTTCGTAACATTTGTATGAAAACTGATTAAAGTGTCTTTTCTTTTTTCTTTATTTTTTTTAATGATGCAAGTAATAAAAATGTTTTTTATGTCTAAGATATTTTTGTGTTGCTTCCATTTAAGACTTAGTAACTATTAAAAGTTAATTCATTATTAAAAACTATATTTTTATCATTTAAAAAGTCTTTTTAACATTGTGAAAAATTTCCTGATTTCTTAAAAAAATCTCCTGATTTTTGAGTGTCATAGGTTGGCAAGTATGTTAATGTTTGCTTTTAGAAAAACTGGCTTAACACTTTTAGATTCTTTACTGCATTCTGTCTGCAAAAAAATTCAGAATTTATTCTGAAGAGTCAGGATGCCAGAAGCTTTGTAGCATTCCTGACTGATATAGTGCTTTGGTGCTGTTTCATAATCTTAACAAGTTTTAAAAAAGCTCTTGCCATTCATGATTAAAGGAATATTTCTAACTTATTTTTGAAGTTTCCATTGATTTCATGTTTGTCACAGATAATAATGGTTTGTGAGAAAGGAAGATGTTCTGTAGTGTTGTAATGTAATAAAGTGCTATTTTAAATGATAAATCCTATTTTGAATGATTATTTTTAAAATTTTTTGATGCAATAATAAATGATGTAACAAACAGAAGAAATTAATTTTGCTTTTGTGTGTAAGCAATTTTTATGGCTTCTGATAATTACACAAACAATGTCGTGATAAAATTTGAATTCATCCTATAATAGCATTGCATTAGTTTATCCTTGGTTTATTGTTGACTCCAGAGCAGAAACGATGCATTTTTAAAACTTGTTCAAAGTTTTAACGCAGCATTTAGAAATATATTCCAGAAATGTTCTTATTTCTGCTTTAGCTAAACATTTGGTACTCGAGAGCCGGGGACAAAAGACTTCGTACAGAAATTATGGAATGAATTCAAATATTTTGACATTTCTCATGTAATCCTGTGAAGTTACACACATCGCTTATACAATGAAAAGAGAAAGCTTTAATATTTACCTGATGTATCTGATATATTATTCATTTTTCTATGCTTGTAATCTTTTTTAAAAGTAATATAATTTTAGATTGAATTATCTTGTATGTGGAATTGGAAACATCTTTTAGTGAAGTTCTAAAAGTTTAAAATTATTAAAGGGAATGTATTATGGATGCACAGTTAATTTTTGAAATGATTCGTACTTAGTTGTACTACCAGCATGTGTTTTTAATACAGAAGATAAATTAAAGATTTAAACACAGTTTGTGGATTGACAGCAGTTTTGTTCTTTAATTTAATTTTGTGTTTTGGACATAATCTAAGCAAAATAATGAGAAACGAAATGAGGCCTTAGTTAAATTTTTTTTTAAATATATAACTGTTAATTATTTAAAATATATTTTAAAATTCCAGATACTTGCGTGTCATCGCAACCACTTTAGCAGAAGTCGCCATACTCTGGCAACCATAGGCATAACTATTCTTCAGACAATCATGGTCATAACATTCCTTCAGTTCATATGTATTCCTTTGGCTGTATTCCAACTTCAAACAGATTTTGTAAACCAGCCATGATATTTTGTGCCTTAAATCTAATTGTAATATTTGCCAGCAGTAGAAGAAACTTTGGTAAAATTTCTTCAAGCTTACAGAATTTTGCTGCGAAATCTTTGAAAGGAACAATGAAGAGATAGATGCATTTTGTAGATCGCCAGTGTTGCCAAGATTTGCGTGATGCTAAATCTCTGCAATTTTCTTTTCTTTTCTTTTTTTTTTTTTTTAAAGGGAAAAATAAAGTGTTCTGTACTTGGGAAAAAGAATAGTGAAACAAAAATTACAGAAAGTTTGGGAGACAAATGTAGTGTTTCATTTTTTTAACGTGTCACTTAATTCTTCCTTAAAAATTAAAATTTGTGTTTCAGTTTGCTAAAGTATGTCAACGAAATATTTGTTCATATTTTGGTTTATCAACTTACCATAAATATCGATAGTTCGTTAATTTTTTGAGTTTGAAGAAAATCGCAAAAATCACCAACTTCTGTCCAATAAAACTTTTACATCTAAAAAAAAAATTTTTTTTTTTTTTTTTTTTTTTTGCTAAATTGTGCCAAGGTGGTTGTGTTAACATGTAAGTGCTAAATTCCAGTAGATTTGATATGAGTTAATTATATATTCATTTAAATGTAATTTTATTTTAAAAAAAGTTAAATTCTGTGTTAAGTTTTATTTGGAATGTAAAAGTTTGCAAGTAGTTGTGCCTTAATTAATAATTTCTTTGTTTTTAGAGCCGTCTAAATAGCAAAGGTATTCCTTTAGAAGCTTCATTTAGTCCTGATTCACAGTTTATTTTTTCAGGTAATTTTCTGTTATTTGATTTTATGTTTGTTCCTTCCCTCTCTCCATGCTTTTGAAAATGTCAGTGATGCTAAATAACAACTTTACATATAAAATTTTGGTAGTCTGAAAAATCTTGCTTTTCTAACAAAAGTTTTGTATCAGCTCACCCCCCTCCCCAGCCTTTTAACTTGTTTTTGAATATATTTTTAAAAATAGAAATGTATCATTTTTACCTCTGGATTTGTTAAATTTTTCGCTATTGATAATAAAATAATGACGTTACATCTATCATTAATATTTGTCTGACTACATGCTTTGCCAACTTGCATACTTGTATGTATTTTTAAAAATGGTGGAATTTAGAAAATCTTCTATTTGTTTGTGGTTCACTTCTTTGATAGGTTCAAATGAAGTTTCTTACTTGAATTTACATTGCTTTCCGAGCTTGGTTGACTCACTGCCTTATAATGTATTTTATTTTAATTAAGTTCTCAAATGCTTATGTTGTAGTTTTAAGTGCCTGAAATGAATATAGATGGGTAATGGTTTTCCTTTCCAAGAAAAGGTTCTGTTGAATTATTTATTTGTGAATTATTACTAAATTAACTTTTTGTTTGTTTGTTTGTTTTTTACATGCTTATTTTGTTTGTCCATTAAGCTGTGCACTTTATATTAAACTTCCAAAAATTTCTTGTCCTGTTTAAGCTTTCTGCATTCATATAGAGTTGATTAAATTTTAGATAAAAACTACAAAACCGGAAGTAGTGCTTTACTTTGAAGCCTATAGCAGTTCGTAACAAGTAACCAGAAGTGATACTTTATTTGTAGTCCTTAAGTTTTTAATGAAAAACTATATTAATGTATAATCCAAAACTTTTCAGTTTTCATATTTAAGGCTTTTATATCAATGGGAGCAACATATTGGCTAGAATTGTTAGACTGGAAGTGATGCTTTATTTAAAGCTATGAACAGATTTTCATAAAAAGAAATATATTTTGATATAAATCAAAACTTTTCAAATTTGGTATTTAAAACTCGTATCTAATTGAGTGCAACCTAATAGATTTTGATTATATATCATAAGCGAGAAGTAGTACTTTACTTGGAGATTTAACAGATTTTCATGGAAAAATATAGAATTATGAGTTTGGCAGACAAGTTTGTTAAATTGTGCCACCAGGTAATTGATTCTGCTAGAGGCAACCATTCAGTTAGAAAACCATAAACTTGAATTTCAAGCGTGGTTCATTTTTCTAGTTAAATAAAATCTAAAATTGTTTGGATTTTTATGTCATCTGGAGGAACCTTATTTTAATTTTAAGGTTTAATATGATCTTTCTGGCCTTACAGTTCATCAATTTGTAGTTAGACTCACTCCTGTTGACTACTCACATTTTATTAGTCTTTTCATCCACACAATGAAAAATAACTGCATGCTCATGTACATATCCATTCTCATGCTTTGATTTGAAAATATCACATCGATCATAGTCTGTTGTCACATAGTGCTTCCTTAAAGAATCAATAAGTTAACAATGGCAGAATTCTTAAAAGCAGTATATCTTTAGCATTCCCAATATAAAGTGTTGCCATACTTTTTCTCAGTTTGTGATATCAGTACTTAGTTTTCTTAAAATGGTGACTAATTTTTTATTTGTTATTTTTGCTTTATTAATTAAATGCCACTTTCTTCATATGCTTACACTACGTAAAATTCAACAGCAAAATCTTTTAAATCATATCTTCAGAATTTCCAGTGCAGTGTTAAGTGTTGCCATACAGTGGTGGCCAAAATTGTGGACACTTTTGGAAAATTTTTTTGAACTTTGCTTATAGGAAACGTTACGTTTCACAAAATGGAAACTTGTATATATCATTTTAAAGAGAATTTATTACTGAATTCAATACAAAACACAAAATTCAGTTATTTGCAATACAAAAAAAGTTAAATGATGATAGTTATCGATATACAATAGATAATGATGATTGCAGTGAGTTATCAGTACTTAGTAGGGTACCCTTTATTTTTTTATTACAGCTTCACATCGACGTTTCATTGAGCTGTCAAGAGTTTTAAGCTCTTCTTTCGTTATTACATGATGCCAGGAAACAATTATAGCCTCAATTAGTTCCCTTTTATTTGATGGGCGCCTCATTCGGACAAGAGTTTTCAAACGGTGCCACAAATTTTCGATAGGATTGAGGTCAGGACTGTTTCCTGGCCATGACAACAATTTAATGCTCTTTGTACGAAACCACTTTCAATATTTTGGCCGTGTGGCAAGGAGCAGAATCCTGCTGAAAAATAAATGAAGCATTGTTGGGAAAGAGATCTCTGATGGAAAGTAGAAGTTTTGTTTCTAGAATAGTGTCAGTATATTTTCTGGCATTCAGTGTCCCATCGATGACATGAAGGCGACCAATACCATTTGCTGACATGCATGACCAAATCATAACACTAACTGGGTTCTTCACAATTGCTTGAATGCAGTCAGGATGTAGCTCTTCTCCTATTCTACGTCTTACATATTTTTGCCCATCACTACTGAATAACGATATCTTAGTTTCATCACTCCATATAATTTTTGACCACTGATCATCTGTCCAATTAATGTGTTCCTTTGCCCACTGTAGTCTTTTTTTTTTTTTTTTTTTCGTTGCTGAAAATTAAGATAAGGCTTTTTTCGTAGAATTCTACCTGTCAGTCCAACATGTGTTAATCTTCTCCTGATTGTTCTTGAACTGACAGAAACACAAGCATCATTCAGATCACTTCTGATGGCCGCTGATGGCATTTTTCTATCTTGGAGACATAGTCTTTTTATTCTTCTGTCATCAATGGATGTGGTGCACCTTCGGCCTTTTCCTTCTTTGTTTTTTATTGAATTTGTCTCCTGATATCGTAAACAAAATTTTCAGACTCCAGGTGTAGCCACTGAACCACCCACCTGTCTTGCAATTTCAGCATAGGAAAGACCACTTTCTCTTAAAACAATAATATTACATCTCTTTCTAGGTGTCCAATCTACTCTTTTATTTGATGTCATTGCTTCTTGACTAAATATTAACAATTTTTACAAAAATTCCTACTTGTAATTGCAGTGTATAAGAAATAGGTGCTCCTTCTACAGAACAAAGCAAAATAATGAATTGTTTCAAGTGTAAACATGATGTCAGCTTCTACTGGCAGTTACTAACATTTCATTGGTTCTCAGAACAAGAACAGTGATTGGCCAGGAAAGCTAGACATTACAAACCACTTCATAACTGTGTTTTTTATTTATATTAAAGTACATATAACTTTTTTTTTATTGCAAATTATTGAATTTTGTGTTTTGTATTGAATTCAGTAATAAATTCTCTTTAAAATGTTACAAGTTTGCATTTTGCGAAACGTAACATTTTCTATTAGCATACAAAGTTCAAAAACATAAAAATTTCCAAAAGTGTCCATAATTTTGGCCACCACTGTACATTTTTTGCATTTGCTTTACTTTTATTTGCTATATTATTTCTTTAAAAAATAATACATAGTGATAACATATGGTGAGAGCATCCTTTTCTTTGAAAAGTAGTTTGATGCAAAATTGAAGGCTGAGACTCTGGGCTAATAATAGCAGTACAAATAGGAACAAAGTATCGGGTTTTTAACGAAAGTTTCCCGCCACCGCAAATATCGCCAACATAAACAGTTCACATTACCATGTTTAATCATATTTTGTCAAATGAGTTTTGTATTTGAAAGAAAGAGATTTGCTTTAGAACACTGTGTTGTGAAATGCGTAAAAAAAATATCGTTATCTTTTAAGTACAAGGTATCTGAAATATAACTATCACACTACCATATTAGAACCATTATTTACTTTAGGTTCTGTTGCAAAAAATCAGCTACAGAATCTCATCAAATCATGTGTACAGCTTGTAGGTACTAATGTTGTTTCATATGACATTGTAAAGGTTTGGTACGAAAAGTTCATAAACAATGACTATGACAGTCAAGAAGCGGAGCACTCTGGCTGGCCTATTGACGTTGACGAGGCCCACCTATGAGAACTTGTGGAAGAAGATCATTATGCAATAACTTGAGAACTTACTAAAGTGTTAGACGTAAGTTCCATGTTATTCATTGTATAAATTTGGCATGCAAGTTAAATTGCTGGGTGCCGCATGAGCTGGCTCAAGCAGACAAGGACAGGTGTTTTTGGGCTTGCACCAATCTGCTCAAATATCAATGCAAGGACAAAATTTTGGACTGGACCATCACTTGTGATGAAAAGTGGATTTACTTCAACATAGGCTGAAAAAGGGATTGGTCTGCGCCCTATGAGCCCGTCGGCAGTGTCGCATATTGAAGTTTGACTAACAAAAATATCATGCTTTGTATCTGGTGGGATTGCCGTTGTACTATCTGCAAAGAGTATCTGGGAAAAGGTAAAACTCTCGACAGTAAAGTTTACAACAAGATGCTCGTCCATGTTGATGCTGCTATGCAGGAAAAACATCGAACTGAGTTCTGGGGAAAAAAGGTAATGCTGCTTCAAGATAATGCATGACCACTTGTGTCTTCATTCACTGCCTGGACTCTGTACGGACTCGAATGGGATCTTTTGCCACACCCGTCATATAGCCCCGACATAGCCCCTTCAGATTTCTACCCTTTTTCATACCTGCAGCTACATCTTGGTGGTGCTATCTTCCATTCTGCACAGGATGTCCGAGATGAGGTTGATCTGTTTTTTGGACTCGTGGCCACCAAGTCTCTACTCCAAATTTGAAAAACTACCAAAACTTTGGCAGAAAATGGTTCTGATTACTACCCACACTAAAGGTACTGCTTTTATGTTCCCCCCCTTACTTTATTAAGAATTTTTTTTTTTTGGTAGAAAAGTTTTGTTACAACCAGATACTTTTCATAGGTGCCTACAAAATATATGTGTAATTTAATAATGAATTATTGTTGTAATCAGTGACAAATTATTACTACACTGGTATAGGAATATTTAGTTGATTATTACAA